CACACTCAGGACAGACAGAGACGAGGGTAGGACTCTCCTCTTGGGCTCTGGGCTACACGTACATGCTTATGATCTTTTTTCCTGAAAATTCCAAATACTTTGAAATGGTGAAGTAAGAGAGCTTGGTGAGAACGCACAACGTGGTGGGCTTAGGGCGGTTTGGTGCCTGCCAATCTTCTCCAGGCCTTTCCCCAGGGGTATAATAAGGCAAAACAGTGGCAGTACCTGCAGTGAACCAAGATGGGCTCCCCGTCCACCCGCAGGGACCTCACGTAGGTCACAAACTCCAGAAAGTCCGAGGAGTCATCGGGCACACCGTGGTCGGGCCATGCGACATACTGGAGGTGTGTCACTGTGTGCTCTTCCCCGGTCTGTGGAACATGCGGTGGCCTCGGTGAATCAGTCCTGGTGGTGGGCCCCGTCCCCAACACCGTCCAGGGGGCCTCGGGCCCCGTGTTCCTACTCCTACTGTGCACAGCTCTGCTGTGGCCCCTGCCACATCCCACATCTGCCCACTCTCCCAAGACACCCATCCTCTGCTCAGCTGAGCCCCCTCCTGGAGGGTGGCCTTCCAACTCTTTAGCCTACAGTGATTTCTTCCATTAGCTCCAACTGCACTTGCAATAGGCCCACTCAGCTGGACACGGCGCACACACACACACACACACACACACACACACACACACACACACACTTTATAGCGCTGGGGATCAAACCCAGGGCTCTGAGCATGCTAAACCCACTACTCGACCACTGAATTCCACCCTCAGTCCCTTTATATGTATTTCTTTCACGGTGGCACAATGCATACAAAGTTTAGCATTTAACCATTTTTAAATGTAAGGTCCAGTGGCAACAAGTATACTTATTCACAATGTTGTGATACCATCACCACTATTTCCAGAACTTTCTTCATCACTCAAACATAAACTTGGATACCCATTACACTATAACTCCCGATTGTTCTCTTTCCTCAGACTCCTGGCAACTATCATTTCCTTTCTATAAATCTGACTGTTCTAGGTAGGTCACATAAATGGAATTTTCAGTTTCTGTCCTTCTGTGACTGGTTTATTTCACTTAACATAACATCCTTAAGGTTCACCGACGTGTAGCATGTGTTGAAATCCCCCTCTTTTTAAAGGCTGATACTATTCCACTGTGCAGATAGACTCATTTTGTGTACTCATTCATTACTTGATGGACACAGGGCTGCTTCCCCTGCTCAGCTGTTGTGAAAGGTGCCACCATGCACCCTGGTACTGGCTCTATGACTGGGAGTCTTGCACTGATTGATAGCCTCATCAGGTGAAAACAGGGCAGACCTGAAGACGTGGCCCCAGCAGGGACCACAATGGCTGCTGGTTTGCCCCCTGCCCCTCCACCTGCCTGCAGACCGCTGCTTACCTCTGTGTTTGTGACCAGCATTTCTCGGGACACATAGGCGATGGTGCAGTCCTCTGTCTGACACTGGATATGAAAGATGCCGTGGTCCATGACATCAGGGGGGTCGGGCCAGTACTGGTGACATTTGGTCTGTAAGAAACCGAGCGCAGGTTAGCTTCCTCTGTGGGGTGTGTGCGGGAACAGCCCACGGGAGACAGGCTGGCTGGGCAGGCATCCCAGGGAGAGCTGGTGGGAGAAGAGGAGTCAGGCGAGGCCCATCTGCTGTGTGTGATCTGGGATGGGGACACAGAGGAAGCTCCTTCCTCCTTTAGCATGTGGGTGGGGGTCGGCAGGCCAGAGGCCAATCAGCCCTGGGACAGAGCCTATAGGAAGAGGACAAGAGACTTCTCCTCTCCAAGGTTCATTTGTTGAAGATGATCAGACGCGGACCTGGGCTTATGAGCAACCTCCACCCTACCGCCCACCCTCTCAGGCCTACCAGGTCTTGCAGGCCCCTTCCCAGCAACAAGAGCCCCTGTAACCTCAGCCCCCCACCCCTGACCTTCCTGTTAGAGGGGAGCCCCAAGCACAGTGGTCAGAGCACAGAGAGAGCTCCCATGGCTTCAGAAACCCCTCTCATTTTCCCATTTTCCACTTGACGGCTGGAGGCAGCATCAGCCTGAGGACCTGGAGGACGGTGACAGCTGGAGAGGGCGTGCAGGGAGCTCAAGGTGGGGTGGTCCCACGGCAGCCCCTCTTACTGCTGCTATGGGTCTGTACCAACTGAGTAAGGGGGGCCCAGAGACGCCCTAGAAATCCAGATTAAGGAATCTCCAAGCTGAAATGAAGACCCCTTTTCACGTGGGGAGCATGTCCTGGTCCTCAAATGCTTCTGAGATAATTCTCTGTGGCGCCGAGACTCCAGAGCAGACTCGGATCCTGACTCAGGGCAGTGACTTGCCAAGGTCACAGAGTGCCGTGACCCTGTTCAGCACACATCCCCAGGACACCACAGTGTCTCTCAATACACCTGTGGCTTCCCCACAGACTGACTAATCCCATCACCCTCACGGTGGTCCTCTCCCCGCCACACACCCCGCAGGGTCTTCCATACGCCATGGCTGCCACAGCCTCTGGCTTCTAGGTCAGATGCTGGGCTAAGCTGCCCCTCCCATCCCGGTTCCTGCCAGTCAAATTCTCACTCATTAAAAAAAAAAAATTTGCCCCCAAGCCTAGAGTTGCACCGACTTAAGTAAAAACTACATTTGTTTAGAGCAGAAAGGTGGTGAAATAATCCTGACACAAGCAATTTGTCAGGAAACAGCTTTCCTAACTTATTTTCAAATATCGCTGTGAATATCTGAAATTAAAATACGCTGCTGTAAAGTTGCCGTTGAGAATTTACTTGGAAACAGTACATGTGGGTGTCTTGGTTAGGAACCGCTTTCCAACTTTCCTTAGACACGAAGGGCTGCTTGTGGGTAGAGAAGGGAGCCAAGTCGCCCCCAAGGGCTCTGCATCTGCCTGTGTCCTCACCCTGTGTCATAGTTCCCAAGGGTCCTGCCCGCAGGAAAACTGGGGGGAGATGCTCTTTAAAATAATATAACTTGTTCAAGGCAGCGCTACAAACACCTGTATTCTCAGAGGGTCTTTACAGTGCACCTGGTCAGGACTGGGTCTCTCTTTACCTCTGATCAAATTTAGATTTTGAGGTCTGTTGGATGTATAAGCACTGGGGTGTAGTCAAGATGTTTGTGGAGATCCTGGGTTTCAATCCTGGTTTAATACGCTATACTAAGCAACGGTGTCGTCCTGAGAAGGTTGCTTACCCTCTTTGAGCCTCACTTTCTATATGACTACTGCTGGAGGGGACGCAGGGGACGAGGATGCCCCAGTTCCTATGAGGATGACCTGATATAGGCTCATTCATTCTCTGAGACTCAGTTTGCTCAGATGCAAAACAGAGTCATTCACAGTTCTTTCTTTGGGGTTGTTCTGAGGCCAAGATAAAATAATACTGTTAATAACATAATAACATAATCAATACTATCGTTTGAATGGTATGGGAGGGTGCTTTGCGTGGACGTTATTTTATCTTGGCCCAGTGACAGCCGGAGGAAGGTACTATGAGGTTCTCTGTTTGCATGAGTAAACCGAGGCTCAGAGAGTTAACCAGTCGGCGTCAGGTCATCCACACAGGCACTGGGGTGTGGGAGTTTCACTCCAGGGCTAAGCACTCGCTGTGAGGTGGATATCCCATGAAATGATAAGGAAACACACCTCTGCAGAGCTGTGGGATTAAACAGATAACCCACACAAAGGGCTTGGAGGGACAATGGTCAGGGCAGCTGGTCAGCGGGCAATGGGGCTGCTGGAGACGAAGCCCCGGCTGGCTGCTGCCAGGATTCAGAGGCTCTTTCCTCTGGATTCACAGGCTGAGCAGGGATCGCTTCTCTCTTCTAGCCCCGAGTGTGGTTTGAGAAGAGGGTTCAGGAAGGGAAAACGGGCCACTGAAATGGTTTTGGGAAAAAAAGTGCCTTTCTGGACCAGAGGGGACATGCTGAAGACTGTGTTTCTGGAGGGGGTGGAGCGTTATCTTAGGAAGAGGGACATGGGTTTGAGGGGAGAGGCAACTTTTATGATGGACCCAACTTTTATGATGAAGTTTGCTTTCTTGCTTAGTCAGTTAACGCACATCCCTGCAGACGTCGTGACAAATTAGATGTGTTTGGCATTATCCTCAAGGTGCTATCAAATCTGGCCATCAGAAGGTGTGAAGGAGAAAAGGCAGAGAAAGAGGTGGGTCATGTGGGAGGTGATGTGGATGTCCTGGATAGGGGACAGGAGCTCAGTGCTGAAGGCCGAGGGTGTCCCCAGTTGGGTGGGGCAGGCAGGGATCCTCAGGGCAGAGGGCATGGGCTGCACAAGGTAAAGAGGCCCCTGGTGTTGCAAGGGAACAGAAGACACCTGGATACGACCACCCAGGAGGGGCAAGCTGGTCTGGGGTGGGCATTGGGGAGGCGGTGCTCTGAGCATCTGAGGGGCACCACGGGAAAACGTAGGACCAGTGTGAACCAAGGCAGGTCTGGCTGAAAGCTTGTTCCTGCCTGAGCTAGTCTGGGGAAGACTTGGGGCCAGCAGGAAGTCCCTGCTATTTCTGGGAGGGGGATGCAGAGGCTGTGACAGCAGGCAGGGGCCCTGGGGACACAGGACAGATAGACTGGAGTCATAAAGGTGGTCAGTGGTGGTGGCCCATGGTGAGTAGGTGTGGGAAGGGATGCACCAGACTCCTGCTTGGGTGACCAGTGCCAAGTGTCTGGGCTGGGGGCTGGGGGGATGGGCCATGCATGTGCCTGCGCGTGTGCATTTGTAGGGTGGTGAAAAACCATTTGTGAGGACACTCAGGTAGGCATGTCTTTGTCCCAGTGTTCAGGACAAAACCTGACCGAGAGGTTCCCAGGCAGAATCCTCCTGCCCCTGTGCATGTCACCAGGCACAGTGTGGTTAACGGGTAACGAGCGCGTGGGAGCCCACAGAACTCTATGCTGCTCTAAACCTCTTCCTGACACGTCACGGCATTCTCGACAATCCCGGTCTCTACTGTTACTCAGATCAGCAGAACAACTTGCCTCTGGTGCAGGAAGATGAGGGCAATGGGATCAGAGTCACCAACCACAGAGAACACCCACGACAGGCCCGGTGCAGCTCATTCTGAACCCTCCAAACAACCCAGGAGACAGGCGTTGCCACTCCTTTCTAGTGACAAGGAAACCGAGGCTTTGAGTCCTGTCCACGTGTACCCCATTAAATGATGGTTCCAGAAGCCAAATGCCTCCACTGACCCCAAAGCCTGTGCCTTAAGTGATTGGCAAATGGGAAGAAAACTTATCCATATTATTCACACGTAGATGGAAAAATGGATCTCTCCCCCAAAGAGATGTCTTCTGGAAGGAAAACGAGGGAAAGTGACTTCCAGATGAAACCCTCTAGGAGGAAGCCCGAGCCTCAAGGGGGAGAACAACGAAAACCACTCTGCACAGAATGGAAGAAAGGAGAAATGAAAGCGAGCCACAGGCGAGAGTCGACCTGACCCCCAGGAGATGGAGGTCGTGGCTCTGCACCCCCAGATACAGAGGCAGCACGGGGGGTGGGTGGGGGGGGGCTGCCAGCCAGTGCACACCTGCCTGAGTCCTACTCTACTGAATGCACAGCAGGGGAGAAAAGAAGTAGGAGCTGATGGAAATTTCACCTTCTGGAAAAAGAGGGGCAAAGCTGCTCTCCTGGAAGGACCAACTCCTGATGCAGAAGAACTGGGGGGTGTGACGAGGAGTCGGGGACAGTAGGACAAAGGGCTCGGGTCACCCAAAGGTTTGTAACAGGAGATGGGAAACACACCCTGGAGTTTGGAAGAACAGGTTTCAAACAATTGATCACCAAGAGAGTAATTTCCCAGGCTAGAGGTGCTGAGGGAACGCCAGGCCTCACGGGAGACCCGGGAAAGAGCCGGGAGCAGAATGGGTTCAGATGGCAGAAAGGGCTCAGAAACAAAGAAACGTGCAGGTCACAGAGACCTCAGATGAGCTCGGGTTCAGAGCGGCCACCCACAACAGAGGGGAGAGGAGGGCAGGAACAAGGAGCAGGAGGGGCAGGACCTGGCAGAGTGGACAGAGGAGGGTGAGGCTTCTGGGAGGGCACAAAGGGACTGGCAGAGAAGGGAAGGAAGGGGCTGCCATCCAGGGCAGATCACCTGTCACTGCCCGTTCCGCCTTTTCTCCAAGGAGAAGAATGGCTGTCTAGCTGGGAAGGGCACAGTGGACTTTCAAGGGGAAAGAGAAGCCCGACAGACAAGAGGCTGGGGACAGCAAAAATATCAGAATGGCCCAGATTAGAGTCTGCCAAGCGCAGGACGCCTCCCACCTTACGAGACTGGGCCTGCATCAGTCACACACAGCTACATGCGGAGACGTGCTTTCTCACACGGTATTTCTGATTCTGCCATAAAGTCAGACTCAATCCTTGTTCAAAACCACTTTAACATCACCTAATACTTTAATTCTATTTTTATACTAACTGAGAGAGCGCCTCAGATTCAGAGCTGAGGAAGGCAAGATTATTTAGAATTGGGGGGGGGTCTTCATATTTTTACACATACCTTTTATTTATGGCAAGTGATATGGACCAGCAGACTCCCCTTTAAGAAATATCTTAAGAAATATTAAAGTAGAAGAAAGTCAATTTGAAGAAAATGATAAATAATATCACAATATGGTCCTCATAATAGTCATTAATGTGGCACCGAAATTACTACTACTGCCAGCTAAGATTTATAGAATATTTTCTGTGTGCCAAGCACTCTTACAAGAAGCTACTCATATTAGCTTTCAGTTCCTCCATAATCCTACAAGATTGTGGTTACTCCCATTTTACACAGTTATAAGCCACACAGGAGCTTATAACTCAAAAGCAGAGCGAGAATTTAAACTCAAAAAGTATGGTTTTAGGGCTTCCTTACCCACTACACGTCAGAACCAGCAAGCTACAGGCACTTTAGAAAAACAGAGGGGACGGTACTGTGAGCTGGCTGGAGTTACCTATATTCAAAAGGGTCCAAGTAATTTCTTATTAAGAACAAAAACAGGAGAAGTGTTGAGCTTTTCCTTGGTGAGCCCTTATTTTTTCAGAGCCCCGGCTTGGGGTGCCTTTCTAACCCATGGCTGGACATCTGGCTTTGGACTTTGCCTTCTCGCCCCCTCCGGGCGGTGGGGGTGATGGGCCAGGAGGGCCAGAGCCGGGCTGGATTGACCCTCGGACCTGGCTAAGCTTCCCAGGCCCTCCCGGTGGCCCAGGAATCGGGCCAGGGGTTGGGCCAGGTTCGGAGCGGTGGGGGATTCCCTCATGCCCTCCGCCCTATGAGTTCTGTGGAGGGATGGCGTACTGTGGACCGCAGGTTGGAATGGGCCTGATCCCCCACAGTGGCCTGGAGACATCTCAACCTGAGATCGAGGTGGGAGCTGGGATGGAAGGCAACTCTGAGGAGGCCTCCCCTGAGCCTTGCATTGCTCACCCTGCTGTTGTGAAAGTGGAGAAGGAGAAGGTGGATCAAAACCACGAGGAGTCCCAAGATATCCAAGCTTTGTAGAAAGAACTCGAGGAATTTGCCAAGCTGCTGAAGCAGAAGAGGATCAACCTGGGATATACTCAGGCCGATGTGGGGCTCTCCCTGGGGGTTCTCTTTGGGAAGGTGTTCAGCCAAATGACCATCTGCCGCTTTGAGGCTCTGCAGTTCAGTTTCAAGAACATGTGCAAGCTGCAGCCCCTGCTGCAGAAGTGGGTGGAGGAAGCAGACAACAATGAGAACCTTCAGGAGATATGCAAAGCAGAGACCCTCCTGCAAGCCCGGAAGAGAAAGCGAACAAGTATGGAGAACCCAGTGAGAGGCAACCTGGAGAACATGTTCCTGCAGTGCCCAAAACCCACACTGCAGCAGATCAGCCACACTGCTGAACAGCTAGGGCTTGAGAAGGATGTGGTCTGATTGTGGTTCTGTAACCGGCGCCAGAAGGGCAAATGATCAAGCATTGATTATTCCCAACAAGAAGATTTTGAGGCTGCAGCTTCTCCTTTCTCAGGGAGACCTGTATCCTTTCCTCTGGCCCCAGGGCCCCTCAGGTTACAGAAGCCCTCACTTCACCACACTCTACTCCCCAGTTCCTTTTCCTGAGGGGGGAAGCCTTTCCCTCTGTCTCTGTCACCACTCTGGGCTCTCCCATGCATTCAAACTGAGGTACCTGCCTTTCCCAGGTACTTTCCCTTTCCAGAGGAGCGAGAGAGAGAACCTGGAGTCCGGACCAGGGCTTTGGGGATTAAGTTCTTCATTCACTAAGGAAGGAATCGGAAGCTCAAAGGGTGGGGTGAGGAGTTGGGGAACTGGTTGGAGGGAAGGTGAAGTTCAATCATGCTCTTGATTTTAATCCCCACATCACTCATACTTTGTTCCTAAATAAAGAAGCCTGGGACACAGTAGATAAAAACAACAACAACAAAAGAGAACAAAAACACAACCAGTGTGTCTCGACGTCATGTACACCCAGAAGAATGAGAAGTTATACCCCATTTATGTATGATGTGTCAACGTGCATTCTACTGCCATGTATACTTAATTAGAATAAATCTTAAAAAATTACAACTGAAACAAAAATAGATAAAAATGAGATTTCCAGACAAAAAGACGAAGTGATGCCACAGAGCTGGTCTCAGACAGTCTCTCATGGTAACTGGGTACAGGAGAAGCAAAAATGGGAGGGGACAAGAGCAGGGCTGCCAGGATTAACAACTGCTCCCCAAAGTGCGTCCTCAGTGCCTCTGGAGAACAGTATTCCAGAGGACGTTTCCACTGTTTCTTGACTGTACGATTTTTCATCATTGACTTAGGGATGAGAGATTCTTACTAACTCTGTGATCAACAAGAGCTAAGAATAATAACTAAGGCAAAGAAATAAGGATGCCCCCCAAACCAGATCTGAGGACTAAATACCCAACATTTTCTGGACACTGAAACATGCAGTTCTCTAAGCTAATAATATTGCATTGTCACTAACCCTCCAAGGTGGGCACGATTACTATCTCCATCGTACATTCAGCAGAAGGCGAGGGTCTGAGAGGTTAAGTATTACTTGCTCAAAAGGAACCTTGTTTTCATCCTAGTCTGGCTCCAGTGTGCTGGATGAAGGTTCCCAGAGCTAAGGGCCTAAGTGCTGAAGAGGAAAAAGAGGCTCAATGGCAATCACAAGATAAAGTCCACACAATCTTTGCTGACTGTGGTTTAATGGAAGTCCAGGGTTATTTTCAGATATTGAAAAAGTTGATACAGAAAAGAAGGGGAACTTATTTTGTGTCTTCCATGTAGCAGAACCAAATGGGATGAAGGTTAAAAGAGATATCTTCATTGTGAGGGGGAATTTTTAAAAAGCAGAGCTGAACGTCAACAGGATGGATCCTGGAAGTGTGCTAGCCGAGGCAGGGAGCAGTTTATCTAGGACCACATATGTAAAAGCCCCCTGCAATCCATGGGGCTCCGTGGAATTAGTAGAAATTCTTTCGTTTCAGGCGAGAAAGTAGACTTATCTCTTCAAGAATAGTAGCTTTATCAATTCCTAGGTATTCTCAATTTCAACATGGATTATTTTGGCTTTCTGAACTACATTGGGGAGGGAATCAGTGGGAGGAAGTGGCACAGAGATCACTCAAAACAGGGGGCTCAAAAGTAATTTCTAGGGCTGGGGTTGTGGCTCAGCAGTAGAGCGCTCACCTAGCATGTGCGAGGCCCTGGGTTTGATCCTCAGCATCACATAAAAATAAATAGATATTAGAAAAAAGTAATTTCTATTTGATTTTGGAATGTGTTTCTGAATATTTCATAAAGAAGACATCCAGATGTATCTACAAGTTAAGGAAGCATGATAGGAGTATCCTTTATATACTGACTTCTGTTACAGGATCATAGAACTGTTTCTATGGAAAAATGGTAGAATAATATAATTTCTCTTTCTATTTACAGCCACCGTTTACCTGGTCCACATTGCCGTTTCAGAACCAGCACTTGTCCCAGCCAATACAGGGGTTCTGAGAAGGTAGGGTAAGGCAAGAGGAACTGTCTTCTGGTTTAATATACTGAATCCATGCTGGGAGTGGGAAGGAGTGGGGTTGAGCTTCCCATCCTTGGGGGTGTCCATTCGTTGGAACCACAGAGATCTATGGGGCATGAAGGGGCTAGACCAAGAGGCCACTTCCAACCCAAGATTTATGCTCCATACAACATGATGTGACACTGCACACTTCTGAATTGGAAACTGATCTACTTACCCGCCCTCGCTCTGTGAGAGTTGTCAACATGACTATTAGAGATAACTTCTGATCCCAGACGACTTGCCAAAATTGTGCACAGGTATGTGGCAGGGGTCCCTGAGTGGCAATGTACTTGTTCACAAGGTTAGCAGCAGGAATTTCCATCTAGCAAGAGATTGGTAAGGGATTATAATCTGTTACTTCCACAAGGTGGACAGGGTTCTGCATTTTAAACTCTTCTACTTGCTGATATCACATCAAACCATTATTATCAATCCACAGTGAATAAGAAAAATCAAAGAAAGTTATCGCTAAAAATCCTTGAAAAAGATTTGATGATAACTCCATCATTAATATCTTTAAGATTAAAGTGGATGACACTCTGTTGGCAAAACCCAGAAATGTCCCTTCAACATGGAGTTTAAGTGACTTTCATTGCTTTCTATTAAATATAACTACTATCCATTATCTTCATTTTAAGCAGGACACATTGATCCTCACCAAGTTTTCCCATGAAGGAATTTCTATCAGAATTATTTCATTTAATTGTTTTTCAAATAGCTTTAATTAGGCTACCCTTTATGTGCCATGAAATTAAGAGCAGGAAATATTTATTTTTATTCAAAGCAGACAAGAGTTTGGTGGCATTAGTAATACAGGTTAATACTGCCAACTCTTGTCACACTTTGCTTTCTGCATGACTTCCAACGATAATGTCATTAAGTTGGCCCATCTTTTTTTTTTTTTTTTAGTTGTAGATGGACACAATACCTTTATTTTATTTACTTATTTTTTATATGGTGCCGAGGATCGAACCCAGGGCCTCACACGTGCTAGGCGAGTGCTCTACCACTGAGCCACAGCCCCAGCCCAAGTTGGTCCATCTTGACCAACATTTTCCCATGCTGCTCCTTTTTCATTTTGCTCTCTGCGCTGAGTCTTCTCTATGCAATAACACTCAGAGCCCTCTGTGCTTTGGACTGGCAACTTCATTCATTCACACTTAGGTTGGGAAGGTAAATGAAGGATCCCAATTCATGACTGGGTTAGTGCTTGGGCTCATGGCTTCCTTGACCCTTGATAAAACAAAGAGACTGGATTCTGTGGGGTGGCCATACATTTCTGATTCTCTGTTCTTAAGACATCAAGAATGTTGAAGTGAGGGCTTATGAATTCCATAGATGCTTTGGAATAAATATTATCAATGATCAGACAAATTTTATTAGGACAGTTCTTTTTTTGTAAATATTTATGTTTTAGTTGTAGGTGGACACAATATCTTTATTTCACTTTTTTTTTTTTTTTAATGTGGTGCTGAGAATCGAACCCAGTCCCTCAATGGCAAGCACTCTACCTCTGAGCCACAACCCCAGCTCCAGGACAGTTCTTGATCACTTCTATAACCTGAGACTTAGTCTGAAAAGTCATGTTTGTTTAGGTCAGGGTTTGGCAGATGATGGCTTGAGGGTCAAATCTGCTGGCCACAAGCTAAGAGTAGTTTTCAACATTTTTAAATGGTAGCATCTTAAAGGCAAAGACCAAATTCTGACTCTGTATAGAAAAAGTGTGCTGACAATGGATTTAGATGGAGAAACTGAAGTTCAGAGAGACCAGGTAAATTGCCCAAAATGCACTTTCAGAATAAAAATGAATGCTTTCCCCAAAACATGCGTACCTTTTCCTTTTCCTCTTTTGGGTCTTAGGTACAGAAGAAGTATTGTTTTTCTTATATTTAGGCAGGATGACACTAATAACGTGGGGAAAACCACATAAAGTAACAAACATACCGCCAGCAAAACCAAATACCCAAGTAAGCAGCAAATACAGAGGTGTGTGGACAATGGAATTAGAAACACTGAAGGCCTCCTGCCCTTATCTCAGTTTTGCGGCTTTTCAAATTATTCAGTCTCTCTGAACCTTAGTTTTCTCCTCTGTAAAACTGAGACCCCTCTGCCTTCCCTCACATGGCTGCTGAGCTGAAATGGGGCCGTGAACAGGAGAGCACTGTCAACTGCCAAGCACCCCGCAGGCCACCCCCATCCTTGTTAGAGTGATGAACGCGCTGTATCTTACCACCCGGCTTCCTAACTTACATTCACATAACTTGCATTAATATAATCTTCATTTCCCTGCAATAATACCCGGGTGGTGTCATCTGTGGGAGAGAAAAATTTACCCATTATTCTGAGTGTTATTTTTATCATCCCAAGTAAACAAGAGTTCAGTTCCCAGCCCCATCTGCAGCTCTTGCCTCATTAGCATAAACACTATTCCCCAACTGTTCAGAGTCTGAAATGGCTGCAATAAAGACGGTGGTGTTTACAGACACACTGAAAATCGCTCCAGAATACCAGACAATCTGTTTCAAAAAGGGAAACATTATCTCAGTGTAG